TCCCCCACATTCAGAACGCTGAGGCGAGAAGACTGTAACTTTCCAGACCAGCCAGAGCTGCGCAGCAAGTTCCAAGCCAGCCCGAAGTTACACGGTGATACCAGGCCTCAAATAAACAAGCCAAAGTTAGCAATTCAAGTCACAGCATTGCCAGCCTCAACCATATATTGTCTCCGCAAGGAGGATGAGAAACCTACCTGTAAAGGTTGCGGATGAGGACCAGGTGGCTGCTTTTAGGGCCACAAAGGTGTGCAAGCACCCACAGATTGTCACCTCTATCACAGGGCTGGTAAGAAGGCTATAGCCTCAAGGCAAATTCGGCAACCACCAGGTCCTCCGGAGGCAGCCTCTAGCCTGTGCCCTGCAACATCTCCTTCCTGCCTCGAGACTCTAATCCCCAGTTCTCTGAACAAAGCTTCTCTGGTGGAATAAGGTGTGGGGCTCTGCCGAATAAGGTTAAATTCAGGAGTCTCTGGATAGCCATTTATCCGTGCTGGGTCAGCAGGGTGCTAACAGTCTCCTCCGTTCTGGGTGATACCAGGTCTTGTAAGGAGTGTCACATAGCCCTCAGGGAAGGCCAGGCCCTTCCCAGATAAGGCCCTTCCCAGATAAGGAAACTGCTCTAGCAAGCATCTAGGAATTCTTAGAAATGACCCACCCTGAAAAGGATCTTCATCCAGCAATGACCTTCAATTGTACTAGGAGATCCTTTCCCCAACCCCCCACATAGGATAATTAAGTACTGTATTTTCCTTCTTCTGATAGGACCATTAGGTATCCCTGACCCCAGTGAATCAAACACATTTACCCTCAAAATCCCTCCCTCCACCCCCTGTTCATATTGCTCTTGATTTCACAAAAATAAAGGTAAGTGCTTTCTCACTTCAAGACTGTGTGAGATTTGTCATTTATCCTCTACCTGGCCCTAACTCAGGGGGCGTGCCCTCCAGCCCACTGGGCCTGGGCCTCACAAGGCCTGTCTCTTGGCTGCAAGCCTACTAGGCTTGGGCTTTGGCCCACACCTTTGCCCTGCTCGGCATAGCAGCTTAACCAAGAGCTTCAACACTTTGGTATCACCAAAGGCTTTGGAACACTCGGGCTTCCATTGCCACCAGCGACCTCATGCTTTAACATTCTGGAAAACCTCGGAATCATGCCCCACCTCTCTGTCTGGAGGCTGAGTTCCAGGACCCCCACCCCCGCCGACCAGAGAAGGACAGCAAGGCCAGGAAGGAGACCCCACCCTTCTGTGGTGCTCCAGTTTCCTTTCCCTTGCTGCAATAAAACACTTGCATCAAGCAAAACTTAACAGGAAGAAAAGTTTATTCCAACTTACAGGTTATGGCCCGTCCTTGACGGAAGTCAGGGTAGGAACCCTGAAGGCAGGACTCACTGAGGAATGCAGCTTCCTGGCTCAACCTCCAGCTCAAGCTTTCTTATCCAGCCCGGGGAAACGGCTCCACCCAGAGTGGATTGGGCCCCTCTACACCAATTAAAATAATCAAGACAATCCTTCAGGACAGGAGAGATGGCTCAGCAGCCAAGAGCACTGGCTGCTGGTCCTGAGACCCAAGTTCAGGTCCCAGTCACCCATGTGGTGGCTCACAACTGTCCGTAACTCCAGTTCCAGGGGACCTTCTGGCCTCCTCAGGTACTAGATAGCACACTGCACACAGACATACAAATAAACCCTAAAAAAAACCCAACCAACCAACCAAACAAAAGGCAATTCTTCACAGCCCAACTCAATCAAGATGATTGCTCCCTGGCAACTCCTTCCCAGGTGATGCTGTCTGCGTCAGGCTGGCAGCTAACACCAACTAGGACCCCTCTGCCCTACCCGGGAGTCACTGCTCACTGGGAAGAGGGTACTGAATTGCAAGGATGCTGGGGTCACCTGTATCGCAGAGGGACACCTACCTCTTTCCCAGATAGTCCCCTTGGGGTACAAACACCGCCGCCATGGGGTAACTGAGCCTAAGAGGGAAGGGGCAGGAGACTGGGCTGGGTTATGTACCCTGGATGACAGCCCACTGTGGGGACCAATGCACAGGTGAAAGAAGGCAAGGGGACGGGGTGAGGACACCTGACGCTATACCCTTGGTAGTGCAGCAGAGACTGGATGTTCTCGAGTTTCCAAGAAAAGGTGCCCTGGGGCATAAAAGAGAAGCCTGGAAAAACGTGTGTGTGTCTGTGTGTGTGTGTGTGTGTGTGTGTGTGTGTGTGTGGTCAGGTCGTCAGGCTTAGCGGCAGCCGCTGGCAGCTATCTTGCCAGCTGCTGCTGCTGTTTTAAGATGGGCTCTTGGGGCTGAGAGTCAGGTCTCCACGCTTCTAAGGCAAGCACCTGAGCTACTCTGGCCACCCACAGGTGGGTCTCCTGCCCCACCCGATCACCGTGATACCAAGACCTTTTTGTGTGTGCTCAGTCAGCAATGGGACGTCATCTCGCAAATGCTGTGCCTGCTTCTACTCCTACAAGGTCCCAACTAGACAAATAGCTACAACTTAGAATAAAGAAGGCTCAAGTTCCCGGACCCCACATCCTCCTGGCCTTCTCTGGCCCAGGCCTAGCTCCCCTGGGCTTTTCTCATTTCTTAGAGAGCCCTGCGTTCTGTCCTTGGCTCCCCATGGCCACCTGTCATTACACACATCTCTGTGTCACCTGATGGCTTGACCTGCTGGTCAAGAGATCGCTCACCAGTGGATCTCCCAATCTCTCACAGGACCACGAAACCCCAGGCATGCTGGCTACGGCAAGCCTGCGGCTTCTCTTCAGGAGAGCGGTCCTCTGCAGGAGTCACTAGCTCTTCAAGGTGGTCAGCAAGTGCCTGAGAAAGGCAGTCCCAGAGGTCCTTGAGGGTCCCCCATAAGAAACCATCAGTGGGGCTAGCAGGCAGTGGGTAAAGCATTTGCCTCCTAACATGAGGAGCTGAGTTCAAAACCAAAGTCACCGGCTGATCGGTGGTGGCGCACACCTTTAATCTTGGCACTACGGGAGGCAGCGGCAGGTGGATCTTTGTGAGTTCGAGACCAACCTGGTCTACAGAGTGAGTCCAGGACAGTCAAGGCTATACAGAGAAACCCTGTCTCAACACCCCCCCCCCAAAAAAAAACCCTACAGTCCCGTCTGTAAGCCTGACACTCCTACAGTGAGAAAGGTGGCAGAGGCAGAACAACCCTGGCCCAGCAAGCCTGGATGACGTAGCAGTGAACAAAGTGGCCATTGAGGACTGCACCCAAGGTTGCCCTTTGACCTTCACGTGCTTGTGTGCGCACCCAAGTCCACACAGACCAAGAAGAAAAACCATGTGTGCCCGGAACCCTGCCTCAGGCTCTGCCCTCTGAAGATTCCAATTTTATGTGCAGCTTGAACTCCTCAGACCGACCTCAGGCCACCAGCTCTGCGACAGATCTCTCCCCCGCCCACTGGTGCCATTTGACCAAACACCTGACAGGAAGCAAGTTAGAAGAGGACCGGTTTGTTCCAGCTTACGGTTCGGGAGACACATCCCACTGTGGGACAAGGTCGCCACGGCGGCAGGAGTGGGAGGAGGCCGCTGGTCACTTCAGCCATCTCAGGAAGCGGGGAGACGAACGCTGGTGCCCAGCGCACTTTCTCCTCTTCAGGCCAGGACCCCGGCCGAGGAGAACGGCTGTGGGGTCGGCATGGGTCTTTCTACCTCAGTTTACCCACAGAAACTGCCTCACAGGCATAACTGGAGGCTTGTCCCCTAGTCCATTCGAAATCCTGTTGAGTTGTCAATATTAGAATCTCAGCATTTCACCGATGGCAGAGTGTCATCCTTCCCAAAGTTCAGGTCCAATTCCTTGAGCCCTCACATCACACACACACATACACACAACACACACACACACACACCTATAGTCAACTCCCAGAGTTGTGCTTTCAAATTCTATCTAAAATCTGCCCTGCGGCAGCTGAGCTCCCAGCACTGTGAAGCCAGCAGTCACTCCTCTGTGTAGCCTGCTGTGCCCTCACCCTTCAGCACAAGCCGGAGGCCTGACTGTCAGGACCCGGGCCATCGTGTCCAGTCCACTCGCCTGCCAGGCCACCCCAGGCCCTGCCTCTCTGCAGCAACCCAAACCACAGCAACTGCCGTGCCCTCCCTTACGGGCACTCTGCCCCAGTTCCTTCTTGGATCTGGAAAGCTACACCCTGAGACCCGATGCCCCAAGGTCAGGGTCACCTTCTCAGTCAGCCTGATCTCACTTCACACTCATTCCAACTCCTGCTCTTCCCTGCTGTTTTTCTCCAGTCAGCAGCCTACACCTAGCCTACACCTATAAACCACAAGCGCCTCTCTTCCTGCAGATTCTAAGCTGTGAGGGCAGTGCAGTGGTCAATTTGACAGGGCCCAGAATCCCCCAAGACCCAAGCTTCTGGGCCAGAGAGAGCGAGAGATCCTAGATTACCTTATCTGAGGCGGGAAAGCCCACCCTAATGAGCATCGAAAGGAGAAAATGAGCTGAGCATTCCTCTACTTCCTAACTACAGCCCTGACAGGACCAGCTGTCAAGTCCCTGCCACCCTGACTTCCATCCACCCTCAGCTGGGAGCCCAGCTAAGCCCTTCCTTAAGCTGTCAGACATTGTCACAGCTACCAGACCAGGAACTAACACAAGCAGGTATTTCTTTTCCTTTGCTTATTCTGCTCCGGACCTCCACTGCCAGCCGATTGCTAATGTGGAACAGGAACTCAGCAACACTTAGGCCCCTGCCCCGGCCTGCATCCGCTTCTAGCGCTGAGACCTATAGCTGGGTATCCTCCTCCGGTGAGACTGTTACCTCTCACAGCTGACAGGTATAGGAGCTCTGCGCATCCAATTGTTTCTCAGTGGTGCGGGGAGTGGCTCAGGTTAAGCCAAGGTACGACCATGCTGAGGCCAGACCGGCCTTTGTCTTCCGTCACTAAAGTCACTAAAGTCCTCTTGTCGACTAAAGGAGACAAGAGACTGGAAGGGCAGAGAGCCCCAAGGAGTTCTTCAAATATATTTATTATCTTTTAGTGTTTTCCTTTCTTAAGAAATAATACTGATTTCCTTTGGGGATTAAAATAAGAATAACAGGCCACAGAAGACTGTCTTTTTGAACATGAGGGAGACACATGGGGTCTCAGGGAGGACAGATGGGGTGACGGGAAGGCAGGTGTGAACACAAGGAAGCGCGATGGGAAGACATGCCACCATGGAGACAAGTGTGAATACAGAGAAGCAGGTGGGAAGGCAGGTAGACGGGTGTGAGCACAGGGGAGGCAGGCTTGCCCCTGGTCCCGTGTAGTGGAGAGACGGCGGCTTCCCTTTCTCTTTAGGAAGGGGAGGCTTTGAGGTATCAAGAACCCAGGCCCTTGCAGGAGGCACACGAAGAGAAGGCTTTCTCGTTGCGATGGACTAGCCAGACTCCTCTATCTCCAACAGGTCATCCACGTACTCCACAACCTCTCCCTGGAAGGCAGCAGACACCTCAGTTAGGCAGGCCACAGGACGGGAAAGCCATCAGAGTCTCAGAGGCCACCACTGTCTGCTCAGGCTGAAGCACACTCCCCGGCTGGCCTGGCGCCCAGATGACCTGATTTCTCTCTCCGTAGGAATGAAGCCTCATCTTCTACCCCATGGGACCTCAGCGTCAAGCAAGCCGCCACCCCACAGACGCCCTGTGCCACGTAGGTGGCTTAGCCACCTTCCTGAAGGCTTCACATGGTTCCCTGGTCTGGGCATCCCTCCGTCTCCTCGTCTCCTCCTGATCCCTCAGTGCTGCCTCAGAAACACATTCCCCTGGTACTTTCTACCCTGACCACTACAGCTAGGTAGGTATGTCAGTGTGCTAGGGACCAGCTCTAACAGCGTCCCTGGGACCCTCTTCAGTGAGACCCAACCCAGGGCGCAGGCCTGACCAGCACTTACTTATTCGTTTATCTGGCTTATCTGGCAGCCTTGGGGACCGAACCCAGGGCTTTTTGCCGTCACTGCTATTTCCTCAGAGGCTGCCGCTTTCTCCCTCAGTGGCGGTGACACGCCATGCAAATCGGCATGCTGAAACCTCCCTGACCTAGTCTTACTCAGAGGCGCTTCTTCCAGCACCCGGTGGTAGGAAGAGTGGGAGGAAGAGGGGGGTGGGGAGGGGGTGGCTTCGCGCCTCTGGGTCTGCCTGGGCAGCTCTTGGGACTTCCCACCCTCCGGGCTCCCCAGGCTGTGACCAAGCTCCCACATCCCTTCTGGCTCCACACACAGCGAGTCCCCAGCTTCCTTACAAACTCATCTCTCTAAATAAGTGACAAGGAGTGTCTGTCTACTGATGGCTTCCCCGTGGCCTGGCTGCCCCTCCACAAAATGACCATTCCGCTCCCGGTCACGACGAGTCAAGAAAGGAGGTCCGGAAATACCTACCGCACTGAAGGTAGAGCTCATGTCCAGCACATGCCAAGCCCTAAGCTGATACCCAGTATCCGACTAAACTGGCTGTGGTGGAGCATTTCCCTAATGCCAGCGCTTGAGACAGCCCAGGGGGAGGATCAGAAGTTCAAGGTCATCCTCAGCTACGTTACAGGCTGGAGGGCAGCCTGAGCTACATGAGACATTGTCTCAAAAGACCAAAACACCCCAACACACAAACAAAAAAAAAGGGGGGGGGTTGGGTAAGGGAGATCTAGTCAGGAAAGTGGATCCAGAAAAGGAGGAGCTGCTGGAAGCAAGGACATAATTTGTGCCCATAAAATTATAATAACCTGGTAGGAAAATGGGGTGGGATTCCTAAGTGTCTTCAGAGGGCAGAGCTCCAAACACATCCCCTCACCCCACCCTACAGGAGAAGTATCGGTCCAGCCTGGGCTTCCTAGAAAGCTGCTTTTTCCACACTGGAGCCCTGGCTTTCATTAAACCCTCCACAGCAGCAGCTGTCTCCTCAAGGGCCCCGTCTGTTTCTTATTTGAGGGAGGAGCCAGCCTCCAAGTGACTGGAGCAGAGACATGAGTCACGCTTTCTCTCGGGCAGATGTGTGCCGAGCACGAAGGCTTACCTCATCGTCATCCATTAGGTGTTCCCGAGCGAAGTCGTACAGTTCTTTCTGGAGCGTGGTCACGTTGAAGAACTGAACAGCTTCCTGTTCACACAGAGAGAATAGTCGGGTGGGCAGACCGAGCCGGCAGCAGGTTGGCACGGTATATCCCATTTCATTCAAGGGATGGAGGCGTTTACAAGTGCACAGTGGGAAAGGTTGCCCAACTGTGGCGTACCCCGCAGCCACTCAGCTGTGCAGATACGAGGGTGAATCGCAGACATGCGGTTCTTAAAGGAGAAGGAGGGATTCTGGGCTATGGCTCCGTTGCTATCACAAGCACAGGGACTCTTCCCAAACACAACATTAAGCCAAGCGTGGCGGGGTCTCCTGGACTTTGGAAGGCAGAGGCAGGAGAAGCTCAAGGTCATCCTTCATAGCAAGTTCAAGGCCAGCCTGGGCTACATGAGACCCTGTCTCAAGCAAAACAAAACTCCACTGGGAGTGTGGCTTGGTGGAGGAGCACTTGACCAGCCGCATGCGTCCTGGGGTCTATCCTAACACACACACACACAAAAAAAAAAAACTGGGTTTCTGTTTTATTGGGACAGGGTGTTGCTTTGTAGCCCAGACTAGCCTCAAGCTTCATGATCATCCTCTTGGGTCTGCTTCCACAGGGCCAGAATGACAGCCATAGGCCACTGTGTCCAACAGTAGGGAAAGTTTTTGAAAGTCACACATAATTAACTCCTGACAATAGGCACAAAGCCTCGCGCATTTATCTGTCAAAGGAATTAAGTGCTGTTTCATTCATAAAAGTCTATGGCTTGGGAGTCAGAGGCAGGAGGATGACAAACTTAAGATCAGCCTGGATCGCAAAGCCCCATCTCTCAGGGGCTGGAGGTCACTCAGGTGGAGCACCTGCCTACAGTGTGAGAGTGCCTGGCTTCTCATGCCATGAAACGCAGAGGGGACACAAAGTAAGTTACAAAAACAGCATGTGAAACACAACCCTATTTTTGTAAAAATAAATGCTGGCTGTGTGCATAAGTAATACAATCATTCGATGAAGGAATTAAAAGGCTGTGTGTGGGGGGGGGGGGGGGGATGGCTTAGTGGCTAAAGGTGCTTGCCACCAAGCCGGACCACTTGAGTTCAATCTCTGGTACCCACAGAGAAGGAGAGAACTGACTCTCACAAGTTGTCCTCTGACCCCCACGTGCATGCTATTGTATGTGCAGGTACAGGAACACACACACAAAACACACACACACAGAGTAAATAGGCAAAAACATAAGAAAAAAAACTAAGCAGGTTGTGATGGCATACGCCTATGGTCCCAGCATTCAGGAGGCAGAGCAAAGCCGGGTAGCTTTGAGTTCAAGGCCAGCCTGGTCTACACAGTGACTTCAGGGTCAGCAGGGGCCATAGAGTCAGGGCCTGATTCAACAGGGGCAAGAGGAACCAACAGGAACCAGAAACAGTGGCGCTCCTCCGTGCCAGAATTGACTCTCTCTGAAGGGCGAAGCAACCTCCGGAAGGCGGGGAGAGAGGAGGGCCCAGGGAGGAGGAGCCGGGCGGGACACTCACCGGCCTGGGCTGAAAATGCTCATCTGACAGGCCCCACTTGTCCCTGTGGTACTGATAGTAGACCAGGTTCTGCTGCATGACCTTGTCGTTCTGGTCGAAGAGCAGGTAGCTGACGGCACAGGGGGCTGCGTTCTTGAGATCATTCACTGGAACCAGAGGGAAGAGGCCAGGCAGATGAGCAAGCCAGCCACCCCGGGAAGCTAGGAGCTTGACCTCCCTTCAGGAAAAGCCCATGCCTAAGGCTTTTCCTCCAGCCCCTCCTCTAGAAAGTGGCCAAGGCACGGTCTAGGTCCCATGGCAGCCTAAAGGATGGCAGAAGCCACGGACCACCCCAAGCCAGGACCACCCTCCGGCTGCGATGAATCAGCTGGCTTCAGACAATCAGAGGCGGTCAGAGGAGGTGGCAGGTCCCAATAAATAACGTAACACAAATGAGGACTCCACACGACAGAAACCAACAAGATAAATCATGGCGGGCCTCAGGATTAGAAGTGTCAAAGGTTACCTTGTCCTGCCATCTTCTGGGGTCAGGGGTCCCCTGCTCCAGCCTCCCTTTTTAGAACTGCACCCCCACACGCACACAGACATCACCATCAACACAGGGATTCTGCATTTGTCTTGGGAGGCAGGGGAGGCAGGCAAAGAAAAAAAAAGAGACACAAGCCCCAAGGCATTTAGTCCGGTACCGTCCACAGCTGCTTCTAAAAGCAGACACTTGTATTATGTAACAAAACGCCCGTTGGCAGGGATGACCCAGCGGAAGGTTATTCAATTCTGCCACCTAGTGGCTGTTTTCTAGAATGGCAACTTTAAAATTCTTCCTGTGGCTCCTGTGAAGGTGCTAGGTTTTACTTACACTATTTATCTACATCCTGGGAAAGCAAAAATCTCCCAGGGAGCAGCAGGCAAAACCCAGTTTCAAGCTCAGCAGTGTAGCTCAGGGTCTCTGTTTGAATCAAGAGGCCCCGAGGCCTCTTCGTGCACAGCATGTATGTGGCCCTGGTGGGCCTTCTCAGCCATTGTAGGAAAGCAGGGAAGTTCTGGGACCTCATCCAACGTCCTGCACAGGGCTACTTACACTTGTAGTAAGCAAACTGCAAATAGTGGTACATGGTGGCCACAAACTTCTCCACAGGAAAGCCTCCTATGACCGGAGTGAGGGTCTCCTCACACTGAACCTTGCACTCCAGAACTTCTATATAATGATCTGAAAAGCAGAGATGAATTCTCAGAACAGTCTCTCTCTGGGAGAAAATCTCGCAGGCGGAGGATCTCTGTGAGTTCAAGGCCAGCCTGTCTACAAAGTGAGTTCCAGCCAGGACCACACAGAGAAACCCTATCCGGAAAAAACAAAAACAAACAAACAAACAAATAAATGGGCTACCATCTTACCGTCTTTAATATTCAAACTGGCTTAAGAAAATGGCAAACATCTATCAAAAAAATGGCCACAGGGGCTGTTAAGGCGGCCCAGCATGTAAAAAAAGCCTGCCGACCTAAGTTCAATCCTCAGGACCCACACAGTGGGCGGAGAAGACGGACAGCCACAAGCTGTCCTCTGACCACATGAGAGAATGGCACAGCTTTCCTCCCTCATGCATACACAGAATAAAAATATAATTTAAAAGGTTTTAATGGCCAAAGAACGTTAATATAAATCGATATGAAGAGCAATCTTGCAGGGTCGAGATGCTATACCTCTCCTGCAGCGTAACAGCATCGCTTTTCCAACAGTTTAAACAGGAGGTTGGGAGCTGAGCTCAATGGCAGATGGCCTGTCTGACATACATGTGGCCCTGGGTTTGATCTCCGGCACCACAATGACAATAACACAACAAATTAGTTATCGGGTTGGTAGGAAGAAAAAATCGGACAGGGTCTCATGTAGCCCAGGCAGGCTTCAAACCCCTAGGTACCCGAGGATGACCTTGATCTCCTGATCTTCCTGGCTCTACCTTGTGATTCCCAAGTGCTAGGAAAACAGGCAAGGACTACCTGCTAATGCAGATAACGCAGAGCTGGACACTGAACCCATGGCCTTGTGCAAGGTAGGTAAGTCCTATGGATGAATTTGGATATGCAAAACCAAACCCAGGAGAGAATGTAACACATGATGCCTCTTCCATCGAAAACACGCATACAAAACGTGGGGGAAATAACTTATGTAGGAGTAACTTTTAGAGAAAACAAGGACAGCAGCAAGAATTCTCAAGGGGTGAAGCTGAGACTAAGAAGCGTGGGGGGGGGGGCATGAAGTCCCTAGCGTCTTGCTGTTAACATATAACTAGTCAGGAGACCTATCAGCCCTGTCCCCAAGCAGTTGAAGTTAAATACTTTAACTAAATGCTTAAAAATTAACAGCACTGGGCTGGGGAAGGGGCGTAGGGATTAAATATTTTATGGGACCCTAGGTTCAATCCCCAGCATTATAACAAAAAATAAAACAAAATAACAGCACCTTCTACAAGAAAATCACAGATATCACACATGTCTAGATGTGACACCCTGAAGCCACTTCTAGTTGATTCAGCCCAAAATGGACACTCTGTAACTGTCAGAAACCAAATAAGGAAATCTAGTCTGTTTTTGTTGTTTCTTGATAAAAGCTCTCACACGTAGCTCTGGTTGTCCTGGAAGTCACAAGGATCCTCCTGCCTCTGCCTCCCTACTGCTGGGATTGAAAGTGAGTGGCCCTGTGCCCAGGCCAAATGAGAAATACTTACAAAGTGGCTTACATGTCTTAAAGTGCTGGGGGTGGCACCAATGGTGTTAGGGCATGGAAGCTGCTGGAGGTGGCAGCCTCCAGAGACGCAGATGGCAGCGGGGAGCCTTCTTTTAAAACCGTGCTTTCGGGTTAGCAAGACGGTTCACTGGATAAGGGCGCACTTGCCGAAAGCCTGGCACTCTGAGTGTGATCCCTGGGACCCACGTGGCAAGGACAGGACTGGTTCCATGAATTGTCCTCTGACCTCTACATGCACACGATGGGACATGTGTGCAAGCATGTACACGCACAAAGAGACAAACAAACAAGTCAGACATTAAAGCCAGCGAACTAGCTCAACACTGGTAAAGGCCCCTGCAGCCGGACCTGGCCACCTGAGTTTGATGCCCAGGCCAACAAGGCAGGGGGGGAAAAAAAAACGAGTCCCACAAAGCCTTCTCTGACCTCCACATATGTGTCATGACAGATAGGCACACACACACACAGATAAATAATAAATAAATGGGAAAGCATTGTAGAATTTTGTTTGACAAACTTTTGAGAAAAGGTCTGGAACAGGCGCAATGAAACAGGCACTTGAATTTCTCCTGTGTGTGTAGCAATGGAGAATGAGTCCTCGGGTGCAGGATGCCCTCTGAGAAGAGCCCCAAGTGCAACTAGAGAGGGCAGAACACAAAGAACGGGAAAGCAAGGCTGGCCTGAAGCCTCCAACTGACCAGCCCTCAACTGCCCAGTCCAAAGCTAACGGAATGGTTACAACACTGAACAAAGAATTCAGACATCTAGAAATGATCAGTGACTCAAGAGACAAGTGGGTGAATGGGGCAAGGAGATCAGCTCAGGATGTTGATAAGAGAGTTGGCAAGCTGGGTAGTGGTGGTGCACACCTTTCATCCCAGTGCTTGGAGGCAGAGGCAGATGATCTCTGAGTTCAAGGCCAGCCTGGTCTACAGGGGGAGTCAGGACAGTCAGGGCTACAGGAAGGAAGGAAGGAAGGGAGGGGGAGGGAGGGAGAGAGGGAAGAAGGGAAGAAGGAAAGAAGGAAGGAAGGAAGGAAGGAAGGAAGGAAGGGAGGGAGGGAGGGAGGGAGGGAGGGAGGGAGGGAAGAAGGGAAGAAGGAAGGAAGGAAGGAAGGAAGGAAGGAAGGAAGGAAGGAAGGAAGGAAGGGAGGGAGGGAGGGAAGAAAGTAATTTAGGAAGAAAGGCAGCAGCATAGATGATAAATTCACAAGGAAAGAGAGATGGCAGAAATGCTAGAAATAAAAAAGTGAATGAAGTAGAAACACAATGAAGTCATCACCAATAGACTAGATCAAGCAGAAGAAAAAATATTGGGGACAGAAAGCAAGATTGAGGAAATACTCCCTTCAGATACCAATGGGAGAAAAAAAAAAAAAAAAAGCACAAACCCCACTTCTAAGAACTCTACGAGAATCAAAACCAAATCTAAACTGGGTGTTCTGGTGCACACCTTTAATCCCAGCACTCAGGAGGCAGAGGCAGAAAGATTTCTGTGAGTTTGAGACCTGCTTGGTCTACACAACCAGGCCAGCCTGGGCTATACAGTGAGAACCTGTCAAAAAGAGAAAGCAAATTCCTTTCCCATCTGAAATAAAAGCGTTCCTCAGATGCCAGTCAAGGCACCTGGAGCACCGGCTCCACCCACAACCAACCTGCTACAGACAGGTAGAAGTCCTTGAAGTCCTTGATCTCCCTGGAGCCCTCGCACGCAGCCAGGCACTCGTAAAAGGCCTTGAAGAAGTCTGGAAGGGCCAGCTCCATGTCCGTAATGGATGTCCTCCAGTTCTCCCCATTGTAGGCCCTCACGGCACGGACAAACAGGCTCTGCAAGGCAAGGCGACGAGGTGACGTTCCATCTGGAGACACGCCTGTTCTCCATAGGAGAACTGTGACCCTGACCAAGCCATGCTTCTCAGTCCCGAGTGGCCCTTGCCTAGACGCAACCCGAGCACGGTTGCGTGTGGGTCTAGATTTACCTACGATGTTCACACAGGTACATTTATTTTAAAAAGACAGAGTCTCGGCAGCCCAGGCTGATTGCAAATTCCCCATGTAGCTGAGGATGACCCCTTTTGAAAATTTTATTTTTACAGGCTGGAGAGATGGCTCTGCGGTTAAGAGCTCACATCTGTCTGTCATTGTGGATATAAACATGGTTTTGTTTTGTTCCTAGGTGTGGGATGTGGCACTGATTCAGTTGTACATGGAGGCAGAACATCACATTAAAAAAAATTATTTTTACATTCTCTTTATTTACTGTGTGGGGCACACTTGCAGAGGTCAGATGACAACTCAGGACTCAGTTCCCTCTTACCACCCTGGGAGTCCTGGGAGTCAAACTCAGGCCAATCCCCAGGCTTGGCAGCAACTACCTCTACGCCCTGAGCTGTGCTGGCAGCCCGCCCCTGATCTCCTGAGTGCTGGACTCCCGGGCGTGCACCACTGAGCAACCCAGTTTTACACAGTGCTGGGGACTGGGCCCAGGGCCTTGTGCATCCACGCACACACTCTACCACTGAGCTGTACCCCTGGCCCAAAGGACTGTTTTCCTTCTCTCGTTCAACTAAATATATACAAGCATTTGACAATCAAATCAAATTCAGATCAAGGAAAAAGTGAAAGAAAGCTGATTCCCGGAGTCAGGGACCGGGCTGGCAGCCTGGCCGCAAAGGGGCAGGAGAGGATGTGTCAGGCTGGGTGATAAAGAAGGCCTCGCCATGCTCCTTGTAGCTGTCAGGGAACTTGCCACAAATCACTGAATTATTGTAAAGCCACCATGCACAATTTGCCGATTTTCCTTCTTCAAGAAGGTACTCACCACCAAGCCTGACAGCCCGAGTTCAATCCCCCAGACCCACAGGGTCAAAACAGAACTACAAACTGTCCCCCGACACACAGACACACACACACACACACACACACACACACACAGACACCAAGTAAGTAAGTTGTAATTGTTTAAAAAAAAGATGTTAGTTGTTCCCAGAGACATGCTTCCTTAACAAATCCTCTTGCACAGCTGCAGGGTGAAGCTGGGAGTACCTCGTACGACTTGGTTTCCAGGTCTTTAATGTGGTCCTCGGCTCCAGGCAAGCTCTTGTAATACGCCATGTTTCTCTTCATCATCTCATCGTCAGGATGCTTCAGAAGATAGGTGTGAGCCGCAGCGATGGCCTTCGGGAGGTCATTGGCCTAAGTACAGTGGGAGGCAGAGGCAGCAGATCGCTGTGAGGCTAGCCTGGTCTACCAAGCTAGTCCAGGACAGCCAAGGCTACACAGAGAAACCCTGTCTTAAGAAAACAGAAAGAGAGAGAGAGAAGCCAGACTTTGAAGGTGAATGCCTTTAATCCCAACACTTGGGAGGCAGAGGCAGGTAAATCTCTGAGCTCAAGGCCTGCCCAGTCTACAGTGCAAGTTCCAGGACAGACAGCCAGGGCTGCATAGTTCTCTGTCTCACAAAGAAACAAACAAAAAAACACAACAAAACAAGAAACACACATACACACACAAAAACCCTAGACGCAATCAATCAATCAATCAATCAATCAATCAGCAAGTGAGCAGAGAATGTGAGCTAAGCAGCAGCCTCTATCTCTCTGCCTCCTGACTAGGTACAATGTGACCAGGGCCCTCCTGCTCCTGCCCTCACTTCCCCTCCAAGATGGACTGTGCCCTCAAACTGTGAGCCAAAATAAGCCCTCCTTCCTCCAGCTAGCTCGGGTGGGCGCTTTGTCACAGTTCCTAGAAAAGTAGCCAACACAGGCAGGCTCATGGTGACACACCAGCCTCCTGTGAGGACGCACGCCAACAACCTGAGGCCCCCACGGTGACAGAACCTGGCACAATCCGGCAGAGAGAAGGGTCTCCACCACGCAAGCATCTAAGGCCTCCTTCAGCCTTCCCAGAGGGACACTCTGAGGGAAGGATGGTGCTTAGGTTTAAAGAGAAAGAGAGACAGAGACAGAACATACGAGACAAGTCAACTTCTCGAGAATAATGTGTTACGGGGGACATCCAGCTGTACCAGAATGCCCCTAAATTTGAGGCAAGTCATCTGGAGACAGTGGTGGTTTCCATGTGGAGAAGGGGTAGGTGGAGAGGGGACCAGGCTCCCAGGTGTCAAGGCTAGAGAATGACAGTAGGTGGCCTGTGGTTGGCAGGACTGAGGGGAAGGCCTGGCTGGCAGCTAGAGAGAAGGGAAGGCTGTGAATGCAGCCAATGACCTGAGGCTTCTTCTAGGAAGAGCATCAGGAAGAGGCGTCCAAGGGCCAGCAAGATGGCTCAGTGGGTAGAGGCGTTTGCCACCAAGGCAGATGACTAAGTTTGATGCCTGGAAGCCACATGCTGGGAAAGCAGACTCCCACAAGCTGTCCTCTGACCTTCACACACAAACTGAACAATGAATAAAAGAAAGAAAGAAAAAAAAAAAGTCTTAACCAGAAAAACTAGAAATGGAGTTTTGAGAATTCTCACTCTGCCCAGGCCTGTGAAGGCCCAATAGGCTGATGACCTTGCTGTCTGGCAACTGGGAATTCAAACCTCCCAGAACCAGGACTTAGGGGGCAGGCAACTGCAATTTGTGGCTATTTTTAGCGAGCAATTGCAGCTATAAAGAAGAGGCAGTGAAGTATGTGTGTTAAATTCCAGATGACAGGGCAGAGATGAGCCCGATGAATCACGGTGCACACTTCCCTGAACAGAGAGGACTCTGCCCACAAAGAGAGGCCACGTTTCCGAAGCCCTCTTTCCAGTCCCGGGTTCACCGCTGGGGGCCATTCTGGGGCATGTTTGCTATCTCAGCACAGGTTGCAACAGTTTTCACAGGAGCTGGGAGGGGTGGAGCACACAGGAGGTACGCAGGCAGGAGGAGGAGGAATTCACCTTCGGCCTCAGCTGCAGCTGCGCATCACGTCTGAAGCCAGCCCAGGTTGCATGCGACCATGTCTCAAAAAAGGAAAAAGAATTTTCACGCTTAAGATGAAGGGGGAAGGGCAGGATTTGGAGAGCTTTGGCAGAGCTGTGTGGCAGAACCTGGGTGAAGAGGGACTAGGGCCGTAGGAGGGCACTTCCTGTTCTGCCTGAAGCCCCAAGGACCTTTCCATTAGCGCCTCTAATTCCGGCTCCGGGGGATCTTCTGCCCTCTTCTGGCCTGCAAGGCATTCACACACATATGGCATGGTGTACACACGCAGACACCCACATACAAGCACACACGCGTGCCCGCGCGCGCACACACATAAAAATATAACCGAAAGAAAAAATTCGAAGGATAAACGAATGATACCAAAGGTTGAGGGGCAGGGCTGGTCCTTGGGCTTGGCGGGGATAGCGCTAGAGGCCCAGTGTGGGGGCCTGTCAGTGGGTGCCTGAGGGAGGGTGATGTTGGGGGGGAGTAGGGGGCAAGGGGTAGAGTGCGTTGGCCCCGTCGGGGGACCAGGAGCCTGATGGGCGGGGTTTGGGCGCAGGCGGCCGCGGGGCGGGGCTCCGCGCTCGGGAGGGCGGGGCTCGGGCGCGGCGAGCGCACCTACCTTGAAGTAGGCGAACTGCAGGAACTTGTAGGGCTCGCGCTGCTGAAAGTCGGCCAGCACGGCGCGGCTGGGCTGCGACTGGCGGAAGGCGGGCAGGCCCTGCTTGCAGCGCTTGAGGCACTGCGCGCGGCGCAGCACGCCGCCGAAGAGGCGCAGCTCGGCGTGGCTGGCGGGGCCGGCGGGGGCCGGGGCGGGCGCGGCCGTGCTGCAGTTGCGGTGGCAGAAGGCCTCGCTGTCGCGCAGCAGACGGTGCAGCCGCAGGCTCACCTCCAGGTAGCCCACGCTCTCGGCCCAGTGCTCGCCGCTGTACTGGTCGAGCGCGTGGCGGTAGGCCGACTCGAGCGGCATCAGCTCGTCCCGCGGGAAGCTGCGGAAGCTGTAGCGCTCGAACTGCGCGCGCCCCGGTGGCAGCGCGGCCCCGGCGCACAGCAGCACCAGCAACGCGGCCGCGGGGCTGCGGGGCCCCATCGCGCGTGGCCCGACGGCTCGAGGCCCGAGCGGAGGACGCGCGACGCGGCAGGCCCAGGAGCGGAGGAGGGGACGCCGGCCTTGGCCCGCCCCGTCCGGCAGACCTCCCCGCCCGGGGACTGAGATGGGCGTGCCTGGGGGAGGCGCTCAGCTCTTCGTCTGCCACGAATTCCAGGCCGGTCTGGGGTGCATGGGACCCCATCTCTGAAAGGAAAGAAAGCTTATAATCACTTGAAGGATTATGAATGGGCCTCGCTCTCCCACTTTCTAGTTCAGCACATCCCGGTTGGGGTGCATTTTCTCTCCCTCCCCCACCTGATCTTGGCTGTAGCCCAGGCTAGCCTTAAACTCACTGTATTGACTTCAAATTTGTGGCAGTCCTCCAGCCTCTCCACTGCAGGAGTCACAGACATTCGCCATCAAACCTGCCATAAACAACTGAGGCCGCGTGTTTACAGATCACATTGGAATAGCAATGCTGTTGACGTAGGTTTTAGAGGATTTTGCGCACACTGTTGATCCCAGCAGGTGGATCGCTGTGAGTTGGAGGCGAGCCTGGTCTACAAAGCGAGTCCAGACAGCCAAGACTACACAGCGAAACCTTGTCTCTAATAGATAGATAGACAGACAGACAGACAGATAGATAGATAATAGATAGATAAAGTTAGTAAGAATGCCAGTGGCTCTTTGTAAATGACTTCTCAAGTCGAGGATGCATTGCGCCTTAGGACGGAGCATGCTGGAGATATTCATGAGCAATGATGAAAACAAGATTTTTTTTTTTTAAATCTTTACACTTCTGAAATAATTTACAGCAAAGTTGTAGGAAAGCGCCTACATATGCCCCTTCATGAAAACTTACAAGTATACTGACACCTTTGATCCCAGCACTTAGGAAGCATCTGTGTGACTCAGTTCCAGGGCTCACAGTGTAGCCCAGGCTACATAATGAGACCTTGTCTAAAGCAAACAAAAATAAAAATGTAGTTAAATCTTCCAGATTAGTGGCCGAGGGTACTCGTTACCGAGCCTGATGACCTGAGTTCAATCCTGGGACACATGTTGGGAAACAATGGGCTCCTCCAGCTCATCCTTTAACCTTCACTCACATGATGAGCGTGTGGTTCTGAGTCAGTGGGGCCAGGAAAAAACCTTTACGAGAGTCCTGTAAAGGATTGATTATGACAAAAATTCCTCATTCCTTCTCCATACCATATTTACTATGCTATTCGATAGATAGATGGCCTTTGTTTGGGATTAAGATTAGATGGCTATTAGATTAGAATCGGAGGGATCAGAAATCTGACTACATCGGTCACAATCTTGGGTAAATGCTACCAACCAACAGTTTGCCACACCTTTTCTCAAATACTAATTAACAGCGGCAACAATGAAGAGGCCGCCCAGAGGGCTCAGTAGTTAAGAACACTGTTTTGGCTTTCAGAGATACTAGGCTTGAGTCTCAGCACTCACAATGCAGCTCACAAGCTTCCGGAACTCTGTCCCCAGGGCATCGGATTTCCTCTTCTGGCCTCTATGGCCATCGGGCACATACGAGGTACACCAGACAAGCAACACACCCATACACATAAACTTAAAAAGAAATAGCTAGACAGTGGTGTCACACACCTTTGATTCCAGCACTCAGGAGGAGGCAGGCAGATCTGTGAGTTCATGGCCAGCCTGGTTTACACAGTGAGTTCCAGGACAGCCAGGTCTACACTACAAAACTCTGCCTCAAAAAAACAAACAAAAAAAAAGAAAAAAAGAGTACAAGAAATAAATTTTAAAGTGTTCAGTGGTTGAGGACTTACCTAAAATGAGGTCCTAGGTTTAGTTCTCAGAGGTAAGGGGGGAAGGTCTTTGTCTTACTTAGTTTATGTTGCTGTGTTAAAGCATCATGACCAAAAGCAACTTGGAAATAAAACAGTTTATTTGGCTTAAAGGTCACAGTTCATCATCAGAAACCAAGGCCGGAACCTGGCGGCAGGAACTGAAGCACAGCCATAGATGAATGCTGCTTACTCGCTTGCTCTGCAGGACTATGTTTTTTTTATACCACCCAGGACTACATACTCGGGTGGCACTGCCCACAGTGGGCTTAGACCTCCCTCATCAATCGTTAGTCAAGAAAATGCCCCCACAGGCTTGTCAAACAGGCCAATCTGGTCTCTCTTCCCAGATGACTGGTTTTATCACGGCTGTGATAAAACACTGGACAAAAGCAACTTAGAGAGGAAAGTGTGAGTTTGGCCTTGACTTCCTGGTCGTGACCATCACTGAGGGAAGTCAGGGCAGGAACTCCAGGCAGGAACGATGGAAGAATACTGCTTTTCTGCTCCTCACTCAAGCTCATGCTTAGCTGACATTCTTTTACTTTTAAATATATTTATTTTTGTTTTGTTTTAGTTTTAGAAAAGGTATCACTATATAGCCCTGGCTAGCCTGGAACTCACTCTGGAGACCAGGCTGCCTAAAGCTCACAGAGACCCACCTGCTTCTCCCAGGCTGGGCTAAAAGGCGAGGCCACCGTGCCTGGCTTAGCTAGCTTTCTCATACAGCTCAGGACCCCCAAGGAATGGTGCTGCTCACAGTAGGCCAGATCCTCCTGTATCCATTAATAAGCGATACACTGCCTCACAGCTGTGCACACAGGCCAGCCTGGTCTAGACAGTTCTTCAGCTGATCGCTCAGATCACTCTAGGTTGTGTCAAGTGGACAAACCTAACCAGGACACAGCCTCCCAGAACTTAATGTCTGACATGCTGTTACTCCCCGGGTCTTTGGGCCTGGTGTGGCCAGACCTTCTGATCTTTCAGAGAACTAGAAACACACTATGGCACCCTGTGGTTGTGTTGACAACTATAGAAACTAAACTTGTGACGCTAGCGTGCTAACAAGTCACATGCCGATTAATAGCTCTTTGGGCCACATCTACTTATAACGTTTGATCTACGTAGGAAACCACTGTGATGATTCAGAGACTGTGATTAATACTACCACTGCAAGTGTGGCTAGGATAAACCTAGGGTGCCTCCCGGAATAAAAACAGCAGGACATGGAGACAGAACAAATGTACCAGAACCATAAAGACTCAGCCGGATGGTACCAGGAAGCACATCCTCCCTGCAGACTAGAAGATAGAAAGAAACCTGGGAAGAAGACTAATTGCAGGAATTGGTTTGTTTTTTTGTTTGTTTTTGTTTTTGGGTGTTGTCCATCAGCTGGGACTCCAGAAAGGACAAACGTGGATGAAGATATCCCAGAAGCCCTAGCTGCCGAATGCACAAACTGATTCCTGATACACAGCCATCAACTTTTTTGTGTGCTGCTTATTTCACAATTTCATATTTCCGTTGCTTTATAACTAAGCACCTTGTTTGGTTGCACAACTTAACCCCAACATGTGGAGTTCAGGACTTTCTGTGTCAGAAGTGAGAAAGATAAGAACTGCCTTCACCTCTGAGCCGTCTCTCCTGCCCTGTGTACGTTTGTTTTCAACACCTCATTTTACAGTTGGGGCTGGCCTTAAACTTTAGGCAGTCCCCTCACTGCAGCCCTCCAAGCCCTGGGAGTGCAGGTGTGAATCACCGTGCCTGGCTTAGTTATGTATTTACCTTTTAAGTAACTTTTAATGTTAATGTTGTGTATGTGTGCCTCTGTGTGTGTGTGTACGTATGTGTATCTGTTTGTGGAGTTCAGAAGTTGACATCGAGTGTCTTATTCAATCTCTCACCACCTTATTTTTGTTGTCTTTTGAACATGGAGCTCACTGATTTGCTAAGATTGACTTGCCAGAGGGCCCCTGGAATTTATAAGAGTACTGCTCTACCCAGCTGGTTTTTGTTTTTTGGTTTTGTTTTGTTTTTTATCATGATTTCTAAGCACTCAAATTCAGAAAGTCCTCATCATGCACTTTACTGACTTTCAGTTTTTATATGAGTTCCAGGATATCTTGTGAGAGGCTGAAGCAGAAGGATTGTCATGTAACTCCCTCTGTAGAGCAGGCTGGCCTTGAAAAGAGATCCACCTGCCTCTGTCTCCCTAGTGCTGGGATTAAAGGCCTGTGCCACCATGACCCACCTGGAAAAAAAAAATTTTTTTTTAAAGACAAGATCTCATGTATCACAGGCTGGCCTTGAATTCAACTGTAACCAAGGATGGTCCTTAACTTCTGGAGGGAAGGGAGAGGGAGTCGGGGAGGGGGAGAGGGAGGGAGGCAGAAAGAGAGAGAGCACTGACTCTGAGGTATGGTGTTATCTAATCTATGAGTCTAATTCTGGATGCACAGCCACCCCTCAACATCTTGCACTTGGCAGCCTTCCAGATACCCATCCCTCCCGTGACTACCTTCATGACCTAGTAAACTTCATAGTCTAACCTCTGTTTCACCAGTGTATGATCTGAGGAGAGAGCTTCTGTCCTTGCCCAGACACAGAGTCAGTGGCAGGGCCGGGAGCTCTGACCATGACTGAGATTCAAGCTACTGCACTCTCTGGCACACCGGTTGCATGCAGTCTTGAGGGTGCTAGAGGACATAGGGAGTGAGGGGGGCTGGTTAGGAGCTGGACCTGAGCGATGGAGCTTTTGTGGGTCGCCCACCATGTGGGAGTGGCTCTTTGTCACGGTGTGGCCACTGATGAGTAACTCATGCTTCTCTGTGTAACCCTAGTAAGCTCAGGTCACCATGCACTTGGGTGGAATCATTTCTGTGTGCTGCCACCATGTCTGGGGTGAACAAACACTTGTTCAATCTCCTGCAGAGGAAACGGGACAATAACTCTGTACCCACAAAGCAACACAACAAAGAAACAAAGACAGGTCTGAGTGGAGCCATTTCATCATCCTGCCACAGAGTGGTAACAGGAAAGCAGAGCCCTCTGGAGGTGGAATGTCTGTGAGGGAAATCCTGATAAAGCCATCCAGGTGCACGTGGGGAGACAAGCAACCCAAGCCAAGGTTTCCACCCACGGGAAGACGCAAGGTGACGCCAGGCAGATGGGTGATCCTTGGCAGAGATTCCAGAGGGGCCATCTTCCTCTCTGTGATGTAGGGTGGTGTATCTTCTTCATG